TAAGTTTCTATTTTACTTCACTATTAGACTGCAGATTTGCAGCCACTATCTGATGCTTCAGAGAGCTGTCTTCTAACTTTTCCCAGTTTATTCCCTGGAGATTCTAATAGACCATGTTGGTATGCTCACTATATTAGATTTGCATTTTTAGTTTTTTGAGATCATATGGGTGAACTGTTCACTCTTAATCCCCATGCCATCATTTTCATTTTCTTACTATTTTGATTCATACACAGAATACAAGTTTTGCAGTTCATCTGCAAATGCATAATCCTTGTCTGTGAGATTGCTCTTCTTCAGCAGGTAGGCAGTGGCTTTATGCATTAGCTGGCACTTAGCAGAAGTGTTCTCTTTTCGGATCTAAGTAATAACCCTGCTAAATGTTTGGATGAAAATGGCATTAAATACATTCACTTTCAGTTGACTTGAAGTGACTCTTTTGGTTAGTATTGCTTGGACAGTGCTCTAGATGTCAATGAATGACATACTAGAACCATAAAATTAACACAATTTTGTAGAAGTTATTTGGGCTTTAAAATAAGTTTCTGGTGCAAATTATTTCATTCCTTGAAGGGAAAGATTTAAACCAACAACTTGAGGGGTGTAAAAGTAAATTGTGGGTGAAAAATAGGAAGACATTTTTCAATGAATAAAGTAAGGCTAGTTATACTCTTGTCTGAGCACTAGTCTAGGATTGGTGATTGGTCTACAAAGGCCCTTTTGCAATGACTAGCTCTCAAGATGATGTTTTTTGGCAAATGGCTGTACAGTTAATGAGCCTGCAAAGTTCCAGGAGAGGTGCAAAACAGAGTTTTAGTCTGGACTAACTGCCTAATGCTAATAGAGCCTGTAGACTGGCTACAACTGTTTGGGGTTGTGAAATTACATGGTTCAAGAACAAGAACTCACTCTCTTAAAAGTGAGAGCTTATTTTGTAATTCTCACTGAGCATTTTTCATAGTTGACTTTACCTGTAGTCTGCACGAACCAGAGAATATGGCTAGAAGATCTCTCACTACAATAGTGTTTTAAACTTCCTTTTAGTTGTCATTGTTTTGTTTTTGAGACACGATTTACTGTAGTCCAGGCTGGCCTATGGCTTGGTATATAACTACCGATGACTTTGACTCCTGATCCTTTCAACTTCCTTCTCAAGTACACCACCACTCCAAGCTTAACTTCCTTTTTATCATATCAGCAAGGAGTGAGTTAGAACATTATGGTAACATATCAAAAAAGAAGGGGAGTGAAGAAGGGAATTAAGAAATCATTTCTCAAAACATGCTTTAGTATCTGTGTTATATTAGTCATTGTATACATTCAGTATTAGTTCTATGGAGACTAATGTGTTCCTTCCCTTAATGGAATTTAGAATTGTTTCGATTTATTTGCTGTTGGGATTTCTCAGTCGTACCTCCTGTCCATTGCAGTGCTGGGCCTTCTGCATGATATACCGTAGCTAACTCTACCACAGAGCAGCCTTCCCAGCTCCTCTCAGAGTCTCTCTTTATTATCTTTGTTTTTTGAGACAGGGCCTCTCTATAGCCCCAGCTGTCCTGGAACTCACTATATAGATCAGGTTGACCTTGAACTCACAGAGATATGCTTGCCTGAGTTCTAGAATTGAAGTATTCCTGAGTACTAGGACTAAGGGTGTACACCATTACACCAGGTTCTCTCAGAGCCTCTTCATATGCTTATGTGCTGTGTGGCCTAGCCAGACAGAGATGCAGGATCATGGTTTCATAGAACTTAACTTGACCACAGATCCATTTGGGTAGTGGTAGTGGTGAAATTTCTGTTACAGCAATGTATTCCTTAGGGCATATTTTGTGAGAAAAATGAATGGCCCTGAATGTTAGACCAATAACGTGAACATGTCATTTTTCTTTGTTCTTCTTGGTCACCATGGCCTTTATATTGGAAAGCATATGGCTGGAGACAACTCTGAGTTGAAGATGGGGTGGTGATAAATTATTGCAACATGTTACTAGAAAAGGTTGAGTCAGAAAGCTGGCATCCTAAATGCTCCTTGGGAAAAGATTGGACATATAAGTAAATCTAATACCTGGTTTAGATGGGATGAAGAAATAAACATTGTTGTGACTCTTAATTTAGCATGAAATGAGCAAAATTTTTAGATCACTCAACCAATTAGGTAGGGGAGTGAGACGTGGACTCAGCGTAGGCTCCTTGAGTCATAAGACCTGACTCATCTCAATTCTGTAATCATATCAGGCCTCTGTCATCATGTTAGCTTGTGCAACTGAGGCATTCTCTTTGTCATGGGTTCTTAGAAACGTCAAATGAATTGCATGAATATTGAGTGAATGAAGGTGTCTTGCAACCTGCAGACTGGCAAAGTTAGATGCCATCTAAGGGAACATATTAAAATATGGAGGGAAAGGGAGATTGCTTGAAGAAGTGGAATAAAATCTTCCCTATGCTTTGGCCTAAAGTAAAATTAAATGTGTAAAACCCTGGTTATGGGAGGATTGTTTTGGTTATCCGTCTGTTTTGGGGTGTGTGATCCCTGTGAGCCAGTAATTTTTTTGTGTAGCTATTGTGAACTAAGCACCAATTAAAAATGCCTCTCTTGGTGGCACAATGTGACCCTTCCTCTCTTTCAAAGGTGAGTTGATAACTAGAGCAAGGCAAAATCCTTTGATCTGAAATAAAATGTATGTACAAGTATATTAAGTTGTCCTTTTGTGTATCCAACACACTTAGCTTGTGTACCCATTTTTTAAAAATTTTTATTACATTTACTTATCTATTGTATATGTGAGGGTACCATAGTGCATATGTAGAGATCAGAGGACAATTTGTAGGAGTCAATTATCTCTATCTACCATGTGGGTCCTGGGGATCAAACTCAGGTTTGATAGCAAGTGCCTATACCATTGATACATCTCACTTGCCTGTGCACCTTTGTTTTTTGTTTGTTTTGTTTTATTTTTAAGAGAAGAACCTAAGGTTGACACTGTGTTCTGCATTGCTTTTGAAGAAACACAGGTATTCTATGATGACATAGTTATGACATACTTTGGTCAGGGTGAAGTGAAGCACATATAGCATATACCTTATCTTCTATGTATGTATACACTCTTTGAGGGTCAGAAAAGGAAGAAGCCTAACGTCACATTCTCTATGTTGTTGAGCCACACAGGAATGTACTGTAAATATGAGGAATGAAGTACAAGGTTTATCTGCACCATTGCTCAAACATATTCTGCTCTTTGAATTTATCTTTCATCTTTTTAAAGGTTTATCTTTTTTTTTTTTTTTTGAGTACAAACCCTCAGCCCTCAGCCTTACACATTCCAAGCAAGTGTCCAATCACTTGGTTTCTCTGTAGCTTTGGAACTTGCTTTGTAGACCAGACTGGCCTCGAACTCACAGAGATCTGCCTGCCTCTACCTCCCAAGTGCCGGGATTAAAGACATGAACCATCACAGCCCAGTTCGGACTTCTTTTTAAAATCTTGTTTGTTGAGGTACAATTTTCATGCAACAAAACTGACTCTGCTTGTGGTGTGTCTTGTAAGAATGCCTTGTTTGGGTGTATAAGTTTTGACAAATGCATGTAGTCTACAATAAAGATACAGAAAGTGCTTTGATTACCCTCTGAATTCCTTCATACCTTTCCTCCCTTGGAACTCCCAAAAGCCATTGTATCTCCTTACTTCTGCCTTTCCTAGATTTTATGTAAATAGAATCATACTCTCCTGATTTGTGTGCAACTCTGAAGAAACCTTGATAAAATACTAACATTCAAAGCTTTCCTCTAATGAACAGATGTTATCACTTTCTAGGGATAGTTCCAGAGTCATGTTTCAGAAGGAAAGTGTGGTCATTTTATTTGGCATGTGTCCCCATCTGCACCTCCACTGCCTTGTGAAGTTCATCTATAATGATCATTCTCTGAAGGAATTTAGGCGCAGGCATCCTATACTGATTTTAATCAATAGTTCCAGCAGCTCAGAATTAAGTATTTTCTGGAACTTCTCATTAGTAATGGAAATACACCCTTCAATGTATAAGCAGTGCTGAGTTCACTAAAAAAAAAATGACCTGGAATGGACCTGTACATGTATTTGCTAACCTGCCTGGGAACTGTCATTTTGTACTTTTTCAAAAGGAGTAGAATGAAAGGTAGAAGGAAGATCACTACTGCTTATGAAAGTAGGACACCACTATAGCAGTGTGCACAGCTCTTTGTGAACAGACATAAATATTAAAAGAAAGACATTTAGAAATCACAGTGTAGTATAAGTACTATCCTGTAATGGCACCGTTTTATTTACAGACTAGTTTCTATAACCAACTTCATGTAGATAAGACCTTACATAATTAATGCAGTGCATTTCTCTTGTACACATGGAATAAATGTACTTGAACTCTTCTAAGCCAGTTTTGTCTTACCCCAAGCCAACATGGTAAACTGGGATACTTTTTTCTGTAGTTGACAGCATCATTAAACTTTCCAAAAATTCAAAGTATATACATATTTGAGTATTTCAGTGGAAAGGTCGGTGTATATCACCATTGGTGGCATCTCTTCCAGGTTTTGTATTATCTGAACAGATTTATAGAGACATCCAGCATACTTGATTTGTAAAAAGCCAGACATCAGCGAATTCATGTCTCTATTGTGGTGCCTTGTACCATTTTTATTAGTTTCTTCCTATAATAGCACTTTGATTCCTACGATTGTATTTAATTGTCTTCTTAATCATGCAGTATCTCATGCTAACTTTCAAAAACCAAAGGGAAGCCCACATCAGATAACTGTGTAGTTTATGTTTATTAATTTCTGGATATTTATGAGTTTGAGATTTACATATTGGACTTTATAAACTTAATTCAGTGATTTTGACATGTTCGTGATGCTTCAGACAAAAGAAAATGTCTCAAGTTACAGACAGAAGGATCTTTTTGTTTGTTCTGAGAGACTTATTGAATGTATGGAGCTTGATAGTTGTGGACCTTTTTTTTAAGGCTATGAAAACGACTCTGTAGAGGACTTGAAGGAGATGACTTCCATATCTTCCCGGAAGAGAGGGAAAAGGAGATACTTCTGGGAGTACAGTGAGCAGCTTACACCATCACAACAAGAGAGGATTCTTAGGCCATCTGAATGGAACCGAGACACCTTGCCAAGTAACATGTATCAGAAAAATGGCTTACATCATGGTAAGTGAGGTTCAAAAATATTTAATGCCTATTTCTCTTTTTTAGGGAGTGGGGGTATTTTTTATTTGAATCTTTGAGATGGGGTCTTGGTATGTAGCCTAGACTGGCCTCTAACTCTCTGTCTAGACCAGTGTGGCCTTGACCTTTGAGTCCCTCTGCCTCATTCTTCCATATTCTAGCACTATAGATAAGTATATGTTACCATACCTGTCTGGTGTCACTGTAAACAGAGATAATGAACCATAATGCTCAGTGTGCTTGGGTTTTCAGCCCTTCACAGCCAACTGGAGAGAGAGCATCGAAGAGAGCTTTTTAGTCACAATTGCACCTTCCTACACATAGTTTCCATCAGTGTGGAGAGCCATCATTTCTGGCCCCCTCTTCCTCCACTTAACTCTAAGAAATGGGCAAAAGACTGCTGGTTCTTAATCTGTCAAAAAAGAAAAAAGAAAAAGCAACACATTGGGGAGGAAGCAGAAGACCTTCCTCATCACTCTCTTCCATTTTCATTCACCCCAGACTTAATTTAATGCGGAGATTGAATTGTGAAAGGTGATGGGGAGAAAAGCAGAGGGAAAAAAGGACACATGATTGAGGAAAAGGAGTGGAGAAGGAGAGTTTATAGGAATCTCTATTACTTGGATGAAACACCATGACCAAAAAGCAAGTTGGAGAGGAAGGGGTTACACTTCAGCATTGCTGTTGATCACTGAAAGAAGTCAGGACAAGAACTCAAACAGGTCAGGAACATGGAGGCAGGAGCTGATGCAGAGACCATGGAGGGAGCTGCTTATTGACTTGCTTCCCATGGCTTGCTCAGTCTGCTTTCTTATAGAACCCAAAACCACCAGACCAGGATGGCACCACCCACCAGGAGCTAGGCCCTCCCCCACTGATCACTAATTGAGTAAATGCCTTACAGCTGCATTTCATAGAGGCATTTCCTCAACAGAGGCTCTTTCCTCTCTAATGACTCTAGCCTGTGTCAAGTTGACACACAAAACCACCTTGTACAGTAGATCAGGACAGGAATTGTGAATACAGAAAGCTGTGATTAAATAGAATATCTTCTGTTGTTTTCACATTGCACAAAGCCAGTCTGCCGAAAAGGCAAAGAGGGAAGGTATGAATGAGCACAGCAAAGATTGCACACTCACGCCATAAACATCACTTGCTGAGCATTTCGGAAGACAAGAATTGCCCCCTAGTCTGTCTGTAACTCGGGCCTTGTTTTCCCAGTTCCAGATTTATACTCTACTACCTCTCAGCGAATTTTTATATTCAGACATTTTTTAAGAAACAGAAATAAAAATATAAAGTCCAGTAAATATTTCCGGAAGACTTGTGATGAGTCTTAGGAAAGCCATTGGGGTACTGTAATACTTTAGAGGAATGGGCTGGGACTGGGGTATGGTTCAGGGGTCATGCTTACCTAGTATGTATGAGGCCCTGGGGTTCTTTGGTTTGGGGCAAGTGGGAGATGGGGAGGAGAGAGGTGAGGGAGGGAGGGAACTGAAGAAGAGCTTTTAAACCAAGATGATTCCTTTTATTGTCTGACAACTTACTTATTCCCAGAATCACAACTTGTTTTACATAAACGCACCTGGATTTTTGTGTACAGTTGAACTGTTGTCCTTGATGTCAGATACTTAGTCCTACTCTGCAAAGAATTAGGACTCTGTTATCCTGGGGTTCAGACCTAGAAGATAGCAGAAGTGTTTAATCCAGGGCTTTGTGCACTAGCCACTTAATCTGCTATTCACTGAACTGTATCCCTATCATTTCTCTAGCAGCCCTTCTAAGTTAGGAAGTTAAACATTCTGTGTCTCCTTAAATGTGCCAGGGCATCTAAAATGAAAAGTGGTTGCTGGTGGTGGCTATAGAAATTGCATGTCTTGTTCACTAAAATGATGTAAATTAAAACTCCCTTCAAATGACCTGTAGGGAAATATGCAGTTAAGAAGTCACGGAGAACTGATGTGGAAGATCTGACTCCAAACCCTAAAAAGCTACTCCAGATTGGTAATGAATTACGAAAGCTGAATAAGGTGATTAGTGACCTGACTCCAGTCAGTGAGCTGCCCTTAACAGCCCGGCCAAGGTCAAGGAAAGAAAAAAACAAGCTGGCTTCCAGGTAAATTCTAATGATGCTCACCCATGCGAGTAGTCTGTAGTAGTAAGATTAGATCTTGAGATTTTTGTGGAAGAGGTGACTCTCAGAAATTAGTTACTAAGTAGTTCCTATATCGGGGTTTGTTGTTGTTTTAAGTGAAAATGGCATTTATGCTTTTAGGAAAAAGCATTGGGGGGTGAGGCAAACAGTCAGTGCATTGTATTACAGTGTAACTGAAAAGTCTTTAAAACTTGGGTTCCCTTTTTTGGTAAGTCAGGTTGACTAAAATACAGTTAACAGTAAAATTTATCCATTTTAGGTATGCTATTATGAGCTTGAGAGACATACCCAACCATATAACCACCAACATGCCCAAGATGAGATATATTAACATTTTCATCACCTTAGAAAACTATAAAAACAAGCCCTCACCCTAGGCCTTTCACAACCATTGGTCTATTTTATTTTATATGTATGAGTGTTTTGCCTGTATGTGTGTCCATACACCGCCTGGTGCACACAGAAGCTAGAAGAGGATGTTGGATCCAGAGACCATTGTGTGATACTCTGTGGATGCTGAGAATTGAAACCCAGGGACCTCTCTGTAAGAGCACCCGATGCTCTGAACTGCTGAGCCATCTCTCAAGACCCCATTGATCTTTCTTCTTTTTTTATTAATGTCTCATAGTGATCAGTCCTTTTCCAGAATGACGCATGGATGGAATATACTGTAGTAGTCTGAATCTATCTGTCTTTAATTTAATGTGATGCATTTGAGACCCATGATTCTGTCACATGGGCTACTGGTTTCTTTTATTACTGTATAGTCACTTTTTATAGGAATACTATAATTTATCTGCTTATCAGCTATGAAGGACCTTTGAGTTCCTTCCAATTTTTGGCATGTTTGAATAAAGCAACTGTAAACACTGACTTATAGATGTTTGTGTGGGTATGAGTTTACATTTCTTTGGATAAAAGCCCAGGTCTATATGTTTATCTTTGTAAAACACACACACACACACACACACACACACACACACACACACACACACAACTATCAACCATGCTGTCTTCCAGAGTAGCTGAGAACTGTTGCTTCACATCTTCTACAACAGTTGGCATGTTGTCTGTTGTTGTTTGCTTATTTTTTTTACATTTTTATTTATTTATTTTTTATATTCCAATCCCAGTTCCCCCTCCTTCCTCTCCTCTCCCCCCCCCATTCCCCCTCCTATCATCTGCTCCACAGAGAGGGTAAGGCCTCCCCTAGGAAGTCTAGGTGTGTCCCATAATCTTGTTGAAGCAGGACCAATGCACCTCTCCACCCGCCACACCCCTTTGTATAGGCTGGGGGAGGTATCTCTCCATATAGAATGGGCTCCACTAAGTCAGTTTGTGCATTAGTGTTAGATCTTGGACCCACTGCCAGTTGCTTATTTTTTTAAGTTATTTAGTAAGTGTGTACATAACAGCTTTAGTTTTCGGATGTGTGCTTAATTTTTAAATGTTGATTTGGAAAAATGGTGATGTATGGTTTATATAATTCAATTCTTTGATAAACATCATTAAACAAGTGACTTAGAGTTAATATTAGAAACATTTAGGGGCTCAGCGATTAAGAACACTTGGCTTTTCCAGAGGACCTAAATTCTGTTCCCAGTACCCACATGGTGCTCACAACTGCCTGTAACTCCAGCTCCACGAGGATCCAATGACCTCTTCTGGCCTCTGCAGGCACCTGCATACCTATATGGCTTTATACTCAACACAGACATACATGTAAATAAAAATAAATCTTTTTTAAAAAAGGAAATGCCTTATGGTGCTAGTGAGATGGCTTCAGCAGGTAAAAGCATTTGCAGAACAAGCCTCATGAACCAGGTGCAGTCCCAGGATCCCACAGTAGAAGAAGAGAACCAACTTCTAAAACCTGTCCTCTCACCTGTACACATGGCTCTGTAGCATGTGCCTGAACACACACACACACACACACACACACACACACACACACACACACACACACACGTTCACATACATTCTCTAACTCTCTAACATGCATGCATATGCATGTACACGTGCACACACAAGCACAAACACACACATGAAGAAGAAAGAAAGAATTTCAAAAAAAGAAAAACGTTTGATAGCAAATCCTTTTGCTACTGTCATATTCTTTTTTTAAAAAATCATTTTTCTTATTTAAGGAAATATATTCTTAAAATATTTTCTTAAAAGGAAAAATGAACTAATAGTAGCTCTTTCTTCCACAGAGCTTGTAGGCTAAAGAAGAAAGCCCAGTATGAAGCTAATAAAGTGAAGTTATGGGGCCTCAACACTGAATATGGTAAATTCCAGTCTTCAGCTTCGCTCTTTCTCCTTGGTTTGCATGTTCTTCCTTCTGAGTGCTGCATACTGTTTGGCTCTCCTCTTTTGTTGTTTTCTTTAGTGGGGGAAGAGGGTGTGAGACAACACATCCCCAGCTGTCCTGGAACTCACAGAGATCCGCCTGTCTCTGCCTCCTGAGTGCTGGGATTAAAGGTGTGTGCCACCAATCCCCAGGTTGACTCTTCTCACTTGTATTTATCTATACAGAAAACCACATGCCCACTGTCAGTTCATTCTTGTCTATAAGAGTGGCCGTCTAGATATGTGGTCCCCTAGACAAATGACACTGTGGTTGACTGACTTTACTCTTTTCCTTCACTTGAGTTGTGTGGATAGTGTACATCTGTGTTTTCTTCTCTCTCTCTCTCTCTCTCTCTCTCTCTCTCTCTCTCTTGTTGGTGAGTATCTCAACTCTGTAGCCTTAACTAGCCTAGACCAGGTGCTATGTAGACCAGGCTAGCCACAAACTTACAGTAATCCTCCTGCTTCTGTTTCCTGAGTGTTGGGTTAAAGGTATGTATCATCGTATTCAACAGAATCCTTATTTTTGAAACTCCTCATACTCTGGGTTATTTTGTTGTTTTCTTTCTATTTTTTTCTTACATGGTTAGAAGTCCAACTCAGGGTTTTGTGCTAGTGAGGTGAGTGTTCAACCTGTGAGCTGTGTGCATAGCCCTTCCATTTTTAATTGAGTATAGTTTTTATTACATAATTAAAAGCAAATTCTCCCATGTTAGTGACATATTCTAAGTGTTTGGTTCTGTCTTCTAGACAATTTATTGTTTGTAATCAACTCCATCAAACAAGACATTGTAAACCGAGTTCAGAATCCAAGAGAAGAGAGAGGACCCAGCATGGGGCAGAAACTTGAAATCCTCATTAAAGACACACTCGGTAAGGAGAACATTATTAGATAACAACAGCTTACGCTGTGTGGTACCATAGTCTAATAGTTCTTTCATTTTAAGGAAACCCTGATGTTCTCAGTACTCTCCCCACTTCATTCCCCTCACTACCTCTTACTAGGGATTTGTCACCCTCAGTATTTTACAGGGTTCTAGCAAACTTGCATGTCTGGCTTCTCATTCCTGACCAGATTGTACACTGTGGAGAGGACAAGAAAGGCCAGGCTGGTTGGTGGCTTGTGAGAGGAATGGCTAAGATATAAAATTGAGATGCTACAGGGTTGCAGTAAGAGCAAATCACCATTGGATCATACTTCCTGAGGGCTGCACAGCATATTGCTGTTCCAAACATGCCACAGTAAAAGGCTGGTGTTCATCTGTATGTAGTATAATCAAAAACAGTCTCAGATGAAAAGCAGGTCCAAAAACAAGTGCTGTCCTAGAAAATCACTGCTGCTTGTGAAATTGTACAAACGAAGCAAAAAGGCAGTTTGCTTGACCTAAGTAGATGGACCATTTTATGTATTTTTTTAAAGAACTTCCAGTATTCTTTTTCTTTAAAAGCATCCCAGTTTTCATGTGTTAGTTTGAGGGAGAACTTAATATTATAAAATTGCTTTTTACCTTTTTGGTTTTTAATTTAAAAGCTTTTGCATGTCTGTAAATGTGTGTGCCATTACACTGGGCAGTTTGACCTGTTACAAAGTTCTTAGCAAGCATTTTCTTTCCTTGAATATCCTGAGGGTGTTTCTCCTCCTCTTGCATAAAATATTTTGGTTAAAGAGCTGATCCCTGAATTAGTATTTCTTGGTGGGTTGATTGTTACTCTTGCCTAGATACATGAGGCAGATCCTGCTCCCCTGTTTCTCTCAGCGTGTGCTTTGAGGTTTCTGTGTTATGTAGCTTTGCCCTGCTTCTCCTGGGGATGTTTGTGTGTCAGATTTGCCTTTCTCAATCTCTGTTCTTTGTCACTTCTTCTTGAACCTTTTTTTAATCTCATTTCTTTGTTTTTGTTTTGTTTTCACTTTCTGTTAGTACTCTTGTGTCATGTTATAGGATTGTGTGTGTGCTAGTGAGAGTGTGAGTATGTATTCTGGGCATGGAAGTCAGGGTCTCAAATACACTCAGCAAGACTACCACCCTTGAGCCATAGCCTCACCTCTTCTTGCTGCTTTTATTTTTATTTTTTAACTTAAGGAATTTTCCTTTTATTTTCTGTGTTCTGTGTTAACCAGATCAGAGGACAGCTTGGAGGAGTGGATCTCTCCTACCACGTGGGTCCTAGCAATCAAACTCAGGTTGTCAGACTCAGCAGCAAACACCTTACCCACTAAACCATCTTACCATCTCCCTTCGATTTTTTTAGGGTCTTTATATATAGTCCAGGCTGACCTCTAACTCAGGCAGTCCTCCCTTCTTCATGTCTTCTTTTGTTACTGATGTTTTTATAATTATCTATTGTATGGGTGTATCACATGCTATGACATGAGTGTGGAGGTCAGAGGACAACTTGCATGGTGTGGGTTCCATAGATGGAACTCAGGTTTTCAGTCTTGATGGCAAGTACCTTTATACACTGAGCCATCTTACTCTTCCTCTTTCATGTCTCATGACATTTCTTTACTTTCATTTCTTTTCTTTCAGTTGAGTTTATTTTGATTTAATAGTGGGTTATGTTATGACATTCATGATCCAGTCTTTAGGCATGCTTTCATTGTTTGCAGATATGATCTTATTCTCTCCCTTTTTTTCCGAGACAGAGTTTCTCTGTGTATCCCTGGATGTCCTAGAACTCACTTTGCAGACCAGGCTGGCCTCAAGCTCACAGAGATCTGCCTGCCTCTGCCTCTCAAGTGCTAAGATTAAAGGCATATACCACCACAGGCTTCTCTTTTCTTAGAACAACTCTTTTATGGTATTTTATGTGGGTATTGGAGTCCAGAGGGCATCTTCTGGTCTTGCTAGGTTCTTAGGTCCAGAACAGAAATGTGGACAAAAGAGAAATTAAGGATAAAGGCACTTCTGAGGATAAATGAAGTCTTTTATGGGTCATTTATGTAGTTTCCACTGTGTACCACATTTGCATGACATGAGTTTACTCTGTTCCTTATATATAGCCCTTGGGGGAGTAATGATGGTGGTGGCATTTCAATCTTTTTCTCTGGCATTGTTTTCTTTCCATATGCTAATCTTTTTTAAAGATTTGTTTATGTGTGTGTGTTTGCCTCTATGTATGTCTGTTTACCACATGTGTACCTGATGCCTTCAGAGGTCAGGCGAGGGCCTTGGGCCCCCAGAACTGGAGTTACAGATTGTTGTAAACTTTTTTGTGGTCTAGGACTTAAATCTGGATCCTCCAGAAGAGCAGCCAGTACTCTTAACTGATGAACCATCTCTCCAGCAGCTTATATACTAATCTTGGTGCCTGCTGTCTGTCCTAAGACAATGGGATTTTAAACTTGACACTGTTCTGTTGCTTTTTTTTTCCTGATTTTTTTTTTTTTTACTTAAAAAAGTACAAACAACATACTAGGTTTTGTTAGGGCATTTTCAAACAAATTTGTTCTTGTTGATTCTCCTCCTCCCCTCTTTTTTCCCATTCCCCTTCTATTCACTACTCATGGCCACTTTTCCATTTTCATGTTATCTCCTGTTGTGGTCCCCATATCTTGACTCTTTTCCTCCTCTCAGTTCCATAGCCTGTACCTCCACTTACCCCCATTCCCATATATCCATGTAGACATGGCTTTGGCTTTCTGATTACCTTGTTTAACATAATGCTTAACAGATCCATTTTCCCATAATTTCACTTTTCTTAACAACTGGATAAATTTCATTGTATATATACACCACCTTTTCAGTGTCCATTTGGCTTGGTTCAGACTAGCTTTTCTAGTTTCATGGAAGCCTCCCTATTCAGTTAATGGCAGCTTGCTTTCTATAGTTTCTTATGCTGTTTTGTCTGGTTCATCTTGTTCTTTCAGACATTTTCTACATTTCTTGTCAGTTTCATTTCCAGTCCTAGTACCAGTGCTTCTTGCTACTATCAGCTACTTGACAGAGTTCTGAATGAGCTATTTTTTAATTGTCTTTGCATCTTTCTTTTATTTAATGATTACTGCTTGATTGAATAAAATCCCCCCTAGGTGTAGGCTTCACCTACACATCTTGTTGACCTCCTGTGCTTTCCATGAAATTACCTGTTAACTACTTTAGATTTTATGTTCTCAAGTTCATTGGTTCCTTTTGGTTTGTCTCAGAAACTCTGTTGATGCTGATGCCATGTATGTCTTACAGATCTGGGTGGCTTGTTCACCCCCTCTTGAATGTTAGGGATACAGAAGAATCCAGATCTCACGGAGATACCTTCTTGCTTGTTTCCTTGGGCTGGTTATTTTAAGAAACAGGATTTCTACTGAGTGTGGTGCTCCATGCCCATAATTCCAGCATTTGGGAGGCTGAGGCAGAAAAAGCCCAATTTTGAACTAGCTAGAGCTTCATAAGGAGGCCTCTTCTCAAAGAAAGAACAAAAAAGTTAACAGAGGTGTCCCCACTGGTGACTTCTAACTCCTGAGCTAACATGATCCTCTTTTCTCAATGTCCTGAGTAGCTCAGCTTTTCAGGGGTTAGACTTTTGTGGAGTTTGTTTTATTTTGTTCTTTTGAGACAGGATCTTGGTATGTAGCCACGGAGGGCTGAGATTTCAGGTATGCTACATGCCTGGCTACTTGTTATTTTATATAGAGAAATGGAAACAAATCTCTGCTACTACAAATGTAGAGGTCATAATTACTTGAGTTCATTTGTTCAAGACCATCCTGCCCAAATACAAGGGAAACTCTTTAAAAAATTAAGATAAGAACCTGGAGGTGGTAGCACAAGCCTTTAATCCCAGCACTTGGGAGGCAGAGGCAGGCAGATCTCTGTGAGTTCAAGACCAGCCTGGTTTACAGAGCTAGTTCCAGGACAGCCTCCAAAGCTACACAGAGAATCTCTGTCTTGGAAAAACAAAACAAAAAAAAATTAAAATAAGTAAATAAACAATTGTCTTACAGTTATCAGCCCAGAGTCTCTATCAGGTTAGATGCATTTGGGGTTTCTTTCTATTAATTACTTTGTTATTGGTTCCTTGTAATAATTGTTATTAGTTGTTATTTGTTATTATTCTTTATATTAATTAATGCTTTGCTTAGAACACTTGGAGAAGCTGTCTGGCTAATGACATTTTCTTCTGGAATCTTGTACCTCTATTATGGAAAACTACATTGCAGCCCCTTCTGAGTCAGTTTGATCATTTATATAGTCCTAGAAAATTCTGCTTCCTGCAGAACCTTAAATTTACTAAATGTGAGCAAAAGTAGTAGTCTGCTCATGGTAGGTACTTTGTTTTCATTCATATGTGTATATGTGGGTGTGGGTGTGCCTATGTGTGTTGTGTTGTTATTTCTTGGATCAGTTGCACACACACACACACACACACACACACACACCCATCCAACCACCCACCCACCCACCCCCTGGGCATTTTTCCTGGAGAGACATTTTTTCTGTTCATGCTAGATGGTCATCAGTAATAGAACAAAGTAATGATTTCCCACAAGTCCATTTTGATGAACCAATCAGTTTATTTGGCTTAGAGAGGATGAGTTAGGGGTTGCTTGCAGGAACGTTGATTACCTCTAGATAGCTGTTTTCATTACAGAATCCCACCCCATCATGGTGTTTACCTCCTGGAAGCTGCATCATAGAGGCAGGTGAAGGCAAGATGATCAGAAGTTCAAGGTCATCCTTAGCAACATTGAGAGTTCAGAGCCCCCTGTACTACACAAGACCCTGTCTCAAACAAGAGTAAAATAAAATTCCTCCAGAGATAGGAAGTACTTTGGTTTATTACTAGTATTATTATTTGTTGAGATTTTCTTAACTGCCGAATAGATTATTACAATTTGATATTTTGTGGGCATCTGAAAGATGTGATTTCTGCTCTCTGTCAAGATTCCCAAGTAATGTTTTGTTGACTGGTGTTCTTAATCAGATTACCTTTCTCTGTTTATGTTGTCTTCCTCTTTGCCTGTGGGTCAATATATTCTGAATAAAACTGAGAAAGGCTCTCACAAATGTGTTTTGAGTTTCACCTCCTATTTTGTTTTTGCTTTTAGATGCTGAATGTTTGAATGGGAGTTAGTACTGCTAGATCTTCATTTTCATTTAGGATTTGAATCCTACAGTGGAAGAGTAGAAAGAAATACTACAGTGTGTGCCTGTATTTCATTGACCTCATTCCACCAATGGCTGATATTTTACTCTATTTGTTTTATTTCTGCTCATGTGTACGTGTGTATTTGGGGGGATATTTGGAGCTAACTTGTAAGTATTCCTATTTCATCATGTCTCTCTTTTGAGACAGAGACTCTTCACATATCCCTGGCTGTCCTGGAACTTGCTATGTAAACCAGGCTGGCTTCTGACTCATAGGTGCTGGAATTAAATGTGTGCACTACTACATCCAGCAAGTATGTCTTCTTAGCCACAGTACCAGCAGTATGTCTAGATGTATGAGCACTGCTGTGATCTCCAATATGTACCCCAAGCTTACATACCCATGCCTGCTCAGTTATGCCTTTTATGTCATGTGTATGGGTGTGCATGTGTTCTGTTTGAGTGATTTGTTGGATTTGATTATATCTCTTTTGTCTCTATTTTCTTTTTAAATGAAAATTCTAAGTAATTGCTTCTCTTATAAGTGTCCCAACATTTGGATTTATCTATTTCTTCATGTAAGGTGAAGTAAGCTGTGTGTGTGTGTGTGTGGTGTGTGTGTGTGTGTGTGTGTGTGTGTAGGTGCACACATGCACATTGCACATGCATATGTTGTGGAGGTCTATGTGGAGGCCAGAGGTCTACTTCAGGTATCTTTCCTCAGGAGCCATCCACCTTGTTTTTTTCTCACTGTGGTCTGGTTTCAAGGATTGGGTTAAGCTGGATGGCCAGCAAGCCCCAGGGATCCTCCTGTCTCCACTTCTGTAGATCTGGGATATACAAAGATATGTGACTAAGCCCAACTTTTTACATGGTTGCAGTTGTGCAGTAAGTGATTCACTGGTTGATCCCAAGATAGAACTAAATTTCTGGCAAGAATTTACATATCTGTCCCATTCCATTAGGCAAGAGCATGGTGTGTGTTTGTCCTATTAGTTGTCATCTGAGTTTGACTAAATAGTTAAGGTAGCATTGATATCTTTATAATTTGTTATATGATTTCATAATCAGTGATTAAATCAGTGTTTTTGATTTCCACTCCCCTTTTCTTTTTCTTGTGTGTGTTTCCAGTCACCCATTTCACCCTCAGACAAGGTCCCATTATGTAGCCCAGGCTAGCCTCAAACTTACGATCTTCCTGTGTTAGTCATTCAAGTTATGGGATTGCCAGCCTGTGTCACCATTCCTCATTTCATTTTCCTTAATACTTAAAAACATCTTATGCCTGTTTAAGGACTAACATTACTTTCCTGACAATCCAGGATGAATAAGGATGAGGAAGTCAGCATACTTGTGCTGTTCCTAGTTTCTCTCCCTCTAGTATTCTACCTTTTCTTATTCACTCATTTTTATTTAAAATAAATAAAATGGAATTTAAATTATATGTGATAATTATTATTAGACATACTTTTGTACTTATAGTTGTATTTGTGTGTATATCCACCACAGAACACAGCGAGGTCCAAACAGTTGAAGGACACAGGAAGCAAACTCGTAGACTTAGGAAACAGTGCCTGCCAGTGGGCCTTGGGTTCCTTTGGGTATTGCTGTGTGTTAATCTACCACTTTAAAATGCTTCATGACTTTTGTTGTGGGTCTCCTTAGAAGACGAAGTCAACCATGTAGGATGGTTTTCTGGGCTGCAGCAGCAAGTAGTGGAGCACTTGGTTGGGGCCAGAATCAGTGTTTCAGATTTCTTTCCTGTCCTTTATGTCCTCTCCATATTTGTATCTTAAAGTGTGCCTTTTATTCTCTTCAGGTCTCCCAGTTGCTGGGCAAACCTCAGAATTTGTTAACCAAGTGTTAGGGAAGACTGCTGAAGGCAACCCCACTGGAGGCCTTGTAGGACTAAGGATACCGGCATCAAAAGTATAATCAGCTTCATTGGACCACTGGTCAGAAATGTCTGTTTTTGTCACGTTATTCATTGTAAATTTTCATTCTGTTTTGCATGTCAATTAGCATTATGTAAACATTTATAATTAGGTTACATTGTTTTAAGAACTTGTAGCATAAGTGAAGCATGATCCAAAATACTTGATTATTGCATTTTCAGAGCATAAACCAGTGACCCTGCTGCTGGCATTAGAAAGGAAGCGCACATGCTAAGTATATGTGAGGTACAGATTGTAAACATCTGTTAAAACAAAACATTTTGGAGGAGTGAATGTATTAGTATAATGCTAAGTATTAAGGCGGGTTTATGCTCTGAACCACACAGAAATACCGAGGAAGCATTTTTTTTCTGAGTCCATTTAGAATGTTTTTAGAATGACTGCTTTTTTGTTCTAATTTTTCACAGCCATTAATCTCACTTGTTCATGGCACACCTAGCACTGATGTGTGTACCATGTTTAGATGTTTATTTTTAGAGCTCAATATGATATATATATAAATATATATATATATAATTGTCTGTGCAAGTAAGAAAAAAAGCATATTCTTTGTGCCTTGTATTTTGGGGAAATTCTAAAACTGGTAATATTTTGTATGATGAAAACCCTAATGAGGAAAAACAAGATATATATATATATATATAGATGAGAAAATTATGGGGTTTAAATGTCTTTTTGTTCCAACACTTTTTCAAAATTTTTGAATGTATATAGGACTATGTTGAAATGTAGATATATGCCACAGAGTCTGTGTATTGTATAAAAAAAAACAAAACAAAACAAAAAACAAAAAAAGATGGCTCTAGAAAACTCCTATTTCGGTACTTGACCGGAAGAAAATACTTGCACATTATTGCGATTGTTTTATTTTTTCTACCAAAGACAAATGCAACTGGTATGGCAGACTGCCAGTCTAAGTAAAGTTTTGCACAGCTTACATGATACTGTATGAATGTATGAAACAAAAAAGAGAAAAAATTTAAAGGTCAGGGTTAGGGATCTTACTCAACTGTGAATCTTATTTCTGTTTGGGTCCAATTATCTACAGAAGGAGCATCCATACATACAAATATTATTTTGCTGTTCCTCTAGTTTGCTTCCATAGTAGATAAGTTGGTGGCCATTTAGGTGTCTTTTATTTCTGCACTTATTGTAGGAAATTTTAATATATTTCATATTAGTAAGCTATTGATAAAATAGTTTTTGACTTTGAAAATTAAAATTTATTTAGCTTATTGTAGTATACTTCCACCAAACAACCAAAATACAGATTATTTTTATTGTATTATGTATATATATATAAAGAAAAAAGCTAAAAATATCTAATACTTTAGTTGCCACTTTTCCAATTGATGTATTATTGTGCATGTACTATTTTCAAAGATCAACACAAGCTTAAAACAAATTTATAAATTTTTATATTTTTGTACAGGTATTTTCTTCAAACTTACATGTGACTTATCCTCTGTAGTTTCTAGAATTGAGAAACATGAACACGTTTAGTTTTTAGGTGCTCTTCTTTGCTCACGTAAGCGGCCGTATTAGTCAGTGTTTAACTGTGCTCAAGCTTTACCTCTTGATGAGAAACTCCTATGTCAAGACAGCGTTATAACCTTCCACAGGTTCTACCATCTGTCTTTCTGGATGGTTTTATCTCAAATCTTGTATTTGGAACTATGAAAATTGATGGCTTAAAAAGTAAAAGCAAGCATATCTAGAAGAAAAACCTGAAATTTCAGACATAGTTGCTGTTTCTCCATTACCCAGTGATAGAACTAAACTGGTTGTCCTTGGTCCTCACAGTAGTTTCTTTTCCTTTCTCTCCCTCCTCCCCATGTATAAACTATAGCACATGAAGGTTCAATTCTAGAACACAGTAACAATCCAAAAATGTGTCTTTCTTGCCTCTCTGACATCATGGAACATAAGAAACCAAGAATTGTCTTGACATGTTAGCTGAGCTGTGACAAGGTTCCTGTATGTTTGGTGGAAATGTACCTGTTAGTGCACTCACCCTAACAGACAATGAGCTCACATCTCATAGTTAATAGAATTCAGGTTTTTACTTTTTATGTGGGAGAAAGCAAAGCATAGGTTCTCAAATGGAAGTATATGTTGTTTTGACAGTGTATATTTGGTAAACTGAAAGTTCCAGAATATGGCAGTTTTGCAGTCAAGTAAACATCACTTCATGATAGCGATTCAGTTGGTGAAGTTTATAAAATTGCCCCTTTATAGCTGCCCTGTTATAAATTCTGGTTTTTTGATACCCTTTTCTTGTCTGCAAACCAGAATTTTACTTTTTTTTGGTCTTGCATTTCAAAAGACTTTGAATCTGTTTAGTAGATTCCATACCTGTGCATTTCAGTGTTTTATATGTACTACTTAAGTTAAATGGTTGAAAAGCCTTTAAATAGTTGAGCTTTTTAATGTTGACACTTTATTTTGTACCTATTTATATATATATATGTATGTATATCTTAGAAAAGCACTTTGTTATAAAATTGCATTTTATATGATTCCTGCCATTTGCTGCTAAACCTGGGCTGGTCAGAACGCTGCAGCGATACTTGATCTAAATAAAAACCTGGCAGTAAAATGTAGAGTGCAAGTTAAATCCTCTTGCTGTTTAAGATGACATAGGCAAGCTGTGCAGCTTTACATTTTAACCAGGGGACTCTGTGGCATTTAAAACCGTCTAGAAATGGTTGTACTTTTAATGCCAGTAATGATCTGCTTCCTCCATTGTTGTTAAAATACCTACACCTAGTGTATCACAGACAGTTCTCACAAATACATAAAAACCCCAGCAGTTGTACATGTCCTGTTTTTTAAAATTGTGGTATGTATTTTGGGTGGAAATCATTAGAGTGAGAGCTGTCTAAAGGTTTTCTGTGTTCATACATGGTATACAGATAGCTCATGAAGTCCAGAACCTTCCCAAGTGAAGGCATTGTGAATTCTCCTCAGATAAACCCATTGTTCCAAAAGCAACCATAAACTGACTCTAGTACTACTACAGTAAAAAAGTAACAATGAACCTTCTGCTTCCTGGTTTCAGATACACTGGATTCTTTAGTCTGTGCCCACATGAGAGCACGCTGCTGGGCTGCTCCTGTTAAGGTTGTGTGTGAGTTTTTCTGTCAGTGTGGTTGCTTGCTGTGCTGTACCATGTATGGGTTCTTGTCCTTTCCACGTCCGTCATGAGAGACTTGGGTGTGGCTTGATCTTGTGCCTTACTTGTACACTTAAATGAAACATCTTCATTCCCTCCTGCTTCCTAAACCTTAACTTTGTCCTTTTTGTAAGAGAATCAGAACTATTCCAGAAGCATCATGAAGGATTTCAGATGGGCATGGTTCCATAGTTCCCTCTCTTTGTAGTTATTATATACTTGTATGAGAGACAATTTTGAATGATCTTTGAGTAATCTTACTACATCCCTTCTCTGGCTTTTGTGAAGTTGTCATGCATCTCTCTGATGTTTGACTTCATTTGCTTCTTAGCAAGTCTGCATTACAGAAAGGTGCATTCATCTGCTTGAAAGTGACTATTTTGTTTTCCAGAACTTTTTAGGAGAAGAGTACCCATTTTTGTTTTTTTTTGTTTTTTTGTTTTTTTTTTTTACAACAGATGACAAGTCTCTTTAAAAGAAACAGAAGTACAGTACTTTTTAAATACAATGCTATTGGTATGAATTTCTCTTTTATATATAGTATTCATACAATTATCTGATGTTTGCCTTCATTAATAAAGCTGTTAGTTTATTCACCAAAATGTCAAAAATGGATGTGCTTTTCTTTATCCCATACATTTAAATAGTATTTTAGCTGCTAAGATTTAGTTAACTTCCTAAGAAATGAATTCAAGTTGCCTTCAGCAAGAATTAACAAAACTCATGTTCCCTTTCTTTATATAGTCTTCCTAAAATTCTGTTCAACTGCTTTCTAATTAATTATGTGACAGAATGTTAGCATCTCTCCAAATCTTGAAACTTGAATTTTGAGAATGCATTGAATTTCAGTGTTAATGGAAAAGGTCTCAACTATGTTTCTAGTGGAGTCTTGTGGAATACCATTTCCCATGGAACTGCGACCACTTGCACAACTTTGCACAGAACTGCAGTCTTGTTCTTCCCTGGATCGTGACAAATGAGTCTCATACAGTGCCGTAATACTTGTGGATTCTTTTGTGATCTTTGTCATCTTAATAAGGGCATTATGAGAAGTTAACTTCATGGCTTTTGTTTTTGTCTCTCTCTCTTTTTTTTTTTTTTTTTTTTTTTTTTTTTTTTTTAGTATTTCAAACACAGTGGGATGTAACAATGAATGTCAGATGTAGGGATGGTGGTTTCGTTTTAAGGAATAAGGGTGTTGGGGGAATGTGATGAAAATGTACTACTGAGAGTTACACACTTCCATAGGCAAGTGGGATTATGTGTTGAAACATAGTCCCATTCTTAGTAAACTAAAATAGAAATGACACCTAGGAACTGCACTATGCCAAATTGCCATTTTGTTTTGAAGAGACTTTTGGGGGTGGTATCAAGGTAACAGAACCTCACAGCTACTTCCAGATAGTATTTTGGAGTTGAAGACTCAGAGGCTAGTGAAGAGCACCCAGATTTATGTCTCTATGTGCCAAGTGGGAACCGGGCTTGCCTCTTCCATAACAGTGTAAACACCTGGTGTAGTTGACTCAGTTCCGGGTGCCATGAGTGGGACTGATTCTGTGTCTTGCCCTTTGCCTTTGCCCTTTGTTTTTTCCAGAACTAAATAACAAAACTGTGTATGTGTACTGTATCGGCCTTTCCACCACATGTTTTACGACACTGTACTCCACTGCCTGCTATTGTCTTCTTGCCATAGAGTCTGTCCCATAGCATAGCATTTGTGGTTCAGTGACTCCGGAGCTGCCAACACAGAAGGGCAAGAATTCAAAGTGTTTGTTCTATGGTTTGGCAGCCTCTTCAAATAGTTGTGCTTAGGATCCTGTCTGTGATATGATCATAAATACTCCATAGTTTTGTTTATTCCCCACCCCCAGCTGGAGCTGTGACACTTTATTGGATTCAGTCTTGTCTCTTGTCTAGAAAGCATTGTATCTTGTTCACGCATGAGCTGTTTAAAAATGACTCAACGTTGGTTAATAGTCGTGCAGTTCTCCTTTCAGGAGAAGGCCATACACAGGTTGCTTTGTTTTCTGTCACCCTCTAACCTGTCTCAGCACTTGTAGTCAGACACAGAATCATCAGTGTATGCAGCACCCTTTGTAATTTAAAATAAAAAATATGAAAAGAAAAGGTTTTGAATCGTTTGCCTCATATTTTGTCTTTTCTCCTTTCTGTTGCCTGCAACACAGCAGCCATCCATTCCTCAGTACAAACTGTCCCTAAGAAGTCTCCAGCTGCACAGAGCAGGGGAGCCAACTGTGCTGCCTCTTGGGGTGTACAGAGAGCTAAGGGTTATTGACACTGTAGCTGGGCTTTTAGTATTTCAGTGAAATTTAGCTATACCATAAAATTATTTGATAGAAATATTTGCTTTCTTTGTAAACAATAGTTTATATTTAATTTGTCCTTTGATAATTTGGACAGGGAATTTCTTCAAGGAAAACAAAATAATCAAAACACTTTTCAGGCTAGGGGAGCTGTGTGCCTAAGGCCTATACCAGGGGGACCTGACCAGGTGAAAGTGGCATAGGAGTGGATGTTCTTCAGCAGAAAGCATCTGTTGAGAACCTACTTTTTCAGGACATGTGAATAGGTTCTGGGTTACAGAGTGATTGAAGAGACTGCTACAAAAATCAGTCCACCAAGGGGAGTGGCATGTGGGCAGGATGGCAGAAAACACAAGAAAAGCTGAAGGTATGACATCCTGCAGGCAATGTTAAAGAAGGCATGAAAGCTGGAGAGGATGCAGGTTTGTTAAAAGTACCAGGCAAGCACGAGGATCTTAGTTCAATCCCCAGCACTCAGATGGACAGCAGGGTGTGGTGTGGACACTTAACATCCAGCCAGGGAGACAAAGGTAGATAGATCCCTGGGGCCTACAGCCCAGCATGGCCTACTTGGAAACTGAGAGACCCCATTTCCTGAAAAGGACAGCACCTAAGGAATGACAGCTGAAGGTGACTTGACTTCTTTTCCCCTGTATTTGAGTAAAAAAAAAAAAAAAAAAAAAAAAAAAAAAAAAAAAGCGAAATAGATGTGATTTCCGATTGGCTGATTGTTGTTCACGATTTACCTCTCCCAGTGTTGGGAACTCTGAGGAGCCAGGGGAACTGGGTCAGAGCAGTCCTTAGGGAACTAAGTCTTCCATGATATCATCAGTGAGATACATCAACTGGCAAATTCTTAAGCTATAGTGCAATGGAGGATTTGAAAGAAAAATATTAAGTGGGACGTGCTGCCCTTATTCAGCCAGAAGACTGAGAATTAAAAGGTAGTAGATGTTCTTAGCTGTGGAGGTTCCACCCCCCCCCAAGCCTTCTAGCCATTCTGTTTAAGAGTACTCGGCTACTAATATCAGGTCCAGTGAAGCTGATAGCCTTGTCCTTCCACAGAAGAGTCCAACAGCGCTCAGATGTAGGTACTAGCCCTACATCCAGCCCATGGTAATAAAGGTTCAGTTCACACTCGAGTCTGCTTGATGCTCTCTGAGGACAATTCCTGCTCATTTCAAATGAGCCAGGCCAAATCATGAGCAATATTTAGTAGAATGTCCTTGTTAAAGGGAAATAACCAGCTTAGAATCTTAAGGTCAAAAGATCCAAAGCCCAGTCAGTGTAGTCAACAAAGACAGTTCCTCAATGAAAGGAGCAAAATAGGGTTGGAAGACTCATGAGAGGGTGTGTGGGTGGGTACCAGGCTGTGCACCTGTCCCCTAGGAGATAGCCTCTGGCTCAGGGTGCAATGTTGGCTTGTCTTGTTGGAACAAAGTATCACATAAAGTAGACATGCAGAGCTGCTTGCTCTGGCTGCTGCAGACTGCTGATTGTGCAAGAAGAAAGGTAGGCATGGGTCCAAAGGCTGAAAAACAATCCAGTACTGCCTTCGGGGTTTCTCCAGTGGCCTAAATGGAGAGCTTTACTCAGAACATTACAGTGATTTGAGTGTTAATCTATTTCTTTAAAAGTTTTTAATCTTAAAACTGTACTTGGAATAAGGAACAGAAAATGTACAAAATTGAAAGACGAGTTTACAGTGAAGAGTGCAGAAGAAACTTAAATGAAGTAGAATACACACCAGGCTCCAAAACAGGACCTGTCAGCTGAAAGTTACTGGTGTTGAGTTACATTAAAAATGTGATACCATCTTAACAAAATAAACCAAAGTGTGTTAAAATTGAGAGGAAGAAGTAGCCGAAACATGTTGGGATTGGGAGAGAATAAATCAAGTATTTAATCGAATCATATAGAAGACTCCATATAAAAACTGCCATTTAGTGTGTGAATGGACAGGCAGTTTAGAATAGTGAGTTTGGAAATAGACTCAAATGTATGAACAAATAGCACAGTCAATGTGGAATCCAGAACCAAGGTTTAAAAAAAAAATTGGGCCCTTCTCTAGTGTTGGAGCCACTGAGTAATCTAGAAAATGTCAAGTTGGTTCTGCATCTCACACTATGAGCCAATATATATTTCAAAATGTGTAAAGATATAGGTATTTTTTAAAAAGTATAAGCACTAGAAGGGAATGTGAACAATCTTAAATCCTTGAGTGGGAAGGATTTTTTTTTAACATAGACCTAAGTCCAGGAGTCATAAAGATCTACGAATGCTATGTGAAACTGAAATTTTAAGTCATCTTAGAGGCAAAAAGTACCATAAGCAAAGACAGAATTCTGCAAATTTTGCAACCAGAATACTAATAACAGAAAGGGCTCCTGGAAACTGATGCAAAATAGGTTGATGACAAAGTAGAAAAATGAACAAAGTAAATGTGATAGCTTTGAAACATTCCTAGTCTTGTTCATTATGAGAGATGCAAAATAAAGGCATTTTGAGCAACAGACCAAATGGTAAGGCTCCCAGTGTCAGCACACCATGCTGGTGGGCTAGAGAAAATGGGTATTTCTATCATTTTGCTGGTGCAACTGTAAACTGATATGGCCACTATGAAGAGAATTTTTTTTCTATTTTTTTTTTTTTTTTTTTTTTTTTTTTTTTTTTTTTTTTGAGTCAGAACCTCAGACTCTAGTCCCGACTAGCCCGGAACTCACTATGTAGACCAGGCTGACATGGAACTCACAGAGATCTGCCTGCCTCTGCCTCTGCCTCTGCCTCTATCTCCTGAGTGCTGGGATAAAGGTGTGTGCCACCACACCAAAAAGGAAAAGAATTATGAAAGCAAGTCTGACAACTTCATTGGTGAACATCTGTAATTCCAGCACTTCAGAGTTTGAGGCAAGAAGACCAAGAGTTCAAGGTTGTTCTTGTCTACATAGACAGTTGGAAACCATCATGGGCTACATGAGACCCTGCCTCTGAAAAGCCAAGATAAAATACATATATCGTTTCACTTACTCCATTTGTTCTGTCCTCCTCTTCTTCTCACTTCCTATAGCCAAACGATTTAATCAAGTGTGACTATGCAATCGAAGCAGGGGATAGAAAATGCATGAACATACATACTCCCAGGATGTTGCTTAGTAATACGTGAATAGCAACTAGTAGTCATTGAGTTCAACAGCACGTTATCAACACTGCTGCATTTCAAGTATTACCTCATTTCACATGGCACAATCAGAACCACTCCTGCTAGATACTTGTAATCCAATTCTACACAAAGAGCAACATCAGAGCCATAAAAATGTGTAAGGAAGGCAATGTAGGTTCTGTGTCTGAGAAAGCCCTAGGATCATGGTTGTACTAATGGAGATGCTCCAGTGACCTGCATTGAGTTATGCACTTTTACAGATTTTTGTATCTTACTCCATAATTCATACTTACTGTAGAAATTGTGTTTTAAGTTTTAAAGAAAAAATGCAACTTTAGTGGCATCCTAATTGATCCTTTTTTGTTCCTGTGCAAAAAGTCATTAGAGTAGCTGGTGCCTGAAAGATGGAAAGTGAGCGGATTTTTGTTGTTGTTTTGCTAGTGCTGGGGTCAGAACCCAGGGCCTTGTGGTGTGTCAGGCAAGCCCATCGCCAAATGAGCTGTGTCTTCCAACCCTAGTGGTTCTTCATAATTACTTTCACTTTTCCGTTTAGTAGGAGCCGACGTGAGAGGCTGTCCGTGTTCCACGTGTCAAGGAAAATCCCAGGTCTGGGCTAGCAACTTGGTTTGCTCCGCACTAGGTCTCCCGGTGCCACATTGAAAGAAATACGGGAGGAAGGCCGGCGTCACGCAAACACGCTCAAGTTTGGCCACCGCTGCTCGCCGTAGCCGCGTCTCCAACATGGCGGCTCCCCAGGACGTCCACGTCCGGATCTGTAACCAGGAGATTGTCAAGTTCGACCTGGAGGTGAAGGCGCTTATCCAGGTACAGATTCTTAGACCCTCGCCGTGCTCTCGTTAGCCGTCTTGGCGTTCTCCGGTACCTTCGCGCACGGCCCAACTTAGCCGGCAGGCGTCCCTGCTCCAGGCCGGTTCCTCCGGCGCCGTTCTGTCGGGTCCCTGGGATCGCTGACCTTCAGCGCTTTTCTTGTGCATACTGTTGGTTCGCCCGCCGCTGGGGCATCCCGACGCCCCTCTCCTGTCCCCTGGCGATACAGCAGAGGTCCGGGGCTAGTCTGCTCACCCGCTGTCTCGGCGGTACCTCCGCCCTGCCACCTCCCGGATCACCTCCCACACCCTCTTCCCTGTGTTAGGGGCCCAAGAGGGTACCCAGGGCCACCTGACACGGGAGTCACTGGCCGAAGCTAACGTAACCTGGACCGTGGCTGTAATTTTTTTTGAATGAAGACATCTAATGGAGTGCAAGTCCTGGGTCAGAAGGCAGGCAGTGCCAATACTAGGACCTGGACGGGGAAAAGCCAGCCTAGGAAAAGCATTTTAGAGCTTCCGACGGGGAAGTGGGGCGCTTATCTGGAAGCAGGTGTAAGTAGGAGACAGTAGTGCAAGCAAGTTAACATAGGCAAGAGTAGAGAATGTGGAAATGGCTCCTCAATTTAGAAAAACAAACGAACAAAAAACAACTGAAGAAACTCATAATACAATCTGTGACAGCAAACGAAGAAAGGATAGGGGCGGGGGTTGGGGAGCACGTGGCTCTGCTGATGAATGCATGCCTATCTTGCACTGGGTTGCATCCCCAGTGCTGCATAAATGGGCGGTGGTTGCTGGGATACATATTCTCGA